CYKGSMWKGCGTGCGGCCCAGGCTCCATCCTCAGCACCACATACCAACAAAGATGTTGTGTCCGCCGAGAACTAAAAATAAATATTAAAAATTTTCTCTTTTTTTCTTTTTAAAAAAAGGGGCCTTCTGGTGACCCTCCTGGTGCCTCCCCAGGTGCCAGCTCCTCCAATGTGGGGACAATCCCCAGTGTGCCCTGTGGGCCTTGTTTCCAACTCTCCCCTGCACAGGAGTGACTCCTGGCTCTGCAGTCCCATGGGACACCTTGGGCCAGCTGTGACTGGAGCACCTGTGCCTGTAGGGCAGGACCAGGGACACCCTCTGCGGGAAACAGGCACTAACATTCCCAAGGCACTTGAAGATTCCCTAACATCCTCCTGAACAGCCCAAGAACGGTCTGTATTAAAAATACAGTAYGGGGCTGGGGAGGTGGCTCAGAGGTAGGGTGCTCACCTAGCATGCATGAGGCCCTGGGTTCTATCCTCAGCACCACATTAAAAAATAAAATAAAGGTGTTGTGTCCACCTACRATTCAATAAATACGTGTTGTTTTGTTTTAAATATAGTATGACAACACAAATCTGAATCCTAACAGGGCAACAACCATTTTTTAGTATACRTATATCCCAGATATTATATGGGATACACTTCTATCAGAATTATTTATCTGTACAGAACCAAACTGGGCACCCTGTGTTTTACCTGGCAGCTCTCCCTGGGAGTACCAACTAGGAAAACAAGAGCTGCATGGTCTCCAGGACGCGGTGGTCAGGTCAACGAGGCCAAGATCCTGGGGCAGTGGCCAGCCAGCACCACCAGCTCTGGAACACTGGCCACTGCTGAGAAGCCCTGGCTGTTGCCTTCATGGCAACCATCTGCACTTGTCCAGTGCAGGTTCTCACAGGGGTCATGAAAGGCCTCTCTTTGCCCACTAAAGACGACCCTGGAAAACCACACAAGGCTGAGGACAGAGGGCTGGACCTGAAAGCGCAGGGGCCAGGCCACCCCAATGACTGGATGCCAGATGGAGCTGGTCCCTAGGCACGCACCAGGGGCTGGCTGGAGGGCAGAGAAAGTGTGGTCAGCAGGAACAGCTCGGTGCCTCCCTCAGAGCTTGAAACCCGAGTTGAGCCCCAACTACAGGGGGGGGCCCTCCCAACCAGCCCGAAGGCACTGTACCCACCCTGGCCAAGACTACACTCATCACCCCCGCCCCCCCCCCCCGTTTTTCCACATATGCCCAGAAAGCAATCAGAAACCCAGGACACCATCCGCAGGAACAGGAAACAGATGACACCCCAGTTTGGCACGGCCCTGCCCTCTCCAACCCACCCCACCCTAGGTCTTCAAGTTCCTCAGCCTGAGAGAAGTACCCCGATGCCTCTCACCCTCAGGGACAGGCACACCACACTACGACCTGTTGGGGCCTGCACTCCTGGCCCTGGCTGTTCCTTTCACCCCATGTCAGTTCCTGCTCCAAGGCCTGTCCTGCCACCTCAGGTAACAGAAAATCACTCTGCCTGGCAGCCACCTAGGGGCCCAGGAGTTATGCCTTCCACCAAGAGGGGCTGTAGTCTCGGCACCACCCCGGCCACAGAGGGAAGCAAGGCCCCAGGGATGAGCTCAGAACCACACGCCGCCCTCCCCACTGTGCCCCACCTCTGGGGCAGAGCCCTCTCCACCTGCTGCCGCCTCTGCCCTGGCCTCCTGCAGGGCTTGGCACAACCCACTTCCCGAGGTAGCCCCAGCCCTAACCCAGCACTATGCTGCAGTGTCCATCATGAGGACCACTCCACGGTCCCCATGTCTCCAGGCCACACCCCCTGCTGTCAAGGTCACCGGCTGGCCCAGATCCTCAAGCGGGACTCAAGTCCCCTGCAAGACGATGGCCTGAGTCTCCAGCCCCCAACCATCACCACGAGGCACCTGGGATTCAAATCAGATTTAATAAATAAAACAGCGAAGGGGTGAAGGCAGCTTCACTGCACGGTGTGGCCCTTGGTGGGCCAGGTGGCCATGTGCGGCTACAGAGAGCCCACAGGACCCTGCCCCACAATTCCAGGTGAGCTGTACACCTGGCCAGAGGACCACTCTGACTTGTAAACACCAACATAAATAGAGGGAGGAGGCCGGGAAGAAGACAGGATCCCGGCCATCTGCTGGGACACCTTGACAAAGAACTGCAGGGGGCGGGGGGCAGGCAAGCGCGCCGGAATCCGGCCTCGGTGCAGGCGACAGCAGCACTTCTGAAGCAGCCAGCCTTGGTGCTGAGGGGGAAAGGGCAGCAAGGGGGTGGGCCACCAATCTCCTCGAACCCTCCCCACCCCGGGGCTTGCTAAGGACCCCACCAGTCGCTCGGGGTCAGGATGGGTGGAAAGGCGGGAGGCAGGTAGGCATAAAGTGCGGCATTTCCTGAAGTGGAGACGTGGGCAGGGGCTGAGGGCAGGGGCCGTGGGCAGGGAGGCCGGACAGAAAGCGAGGTATATGGCTCTGCACCCCAAGATCCGGCACTAAGCAGAGCTGGCACCAAGCCCAGGCAGGGCAGCCTGCAGCCCTGTCCCATCAGGGACAGAGCTGACTGGTGCTGAGGCCACCCAGGCAGAAGCTGCTGGTGCAGGCAGTAGGTCCTGCCCACCTCCCCGTGGGCAGTGATGTCTGCCCTTGCCTCTGCTGGCTACGAGGGGCCAGGAGGCCAGCTCTGCCCTGACTCCCGAGGGTCAGGCCCTCTCTGAGACCGGATGCCCAATGGATCCCAGGGTGCAGTACAGCCTGGAGCTGGGTGGTGGTGGCCCAGGGTCCAGTCTGGGTGGAAGGGCAAGGGCCAGAGGCCCAGCCACCTCACCCTGGTCCCAGTATTCGTTCGAAAGCAGAGAAGGTGGCAACCCAGCCCAAGCTGGGGAGGGCTCAGGAAGATGGGGGCAGGCCGGGTGGTGCCCTCAAGTCCCTTGCGGGCCACACAGCCGGCCCACGGCAGGGATCAACAGGTCATCACGTTGCAGCTGCAGAAGAGACGAGGACCAGAGTCAGCCGCGCCTGTGTGGCTCCACACGGCTCCCCCTCACCTCCCCCAGAGCCACTCTGTCCCCCAAACCCCTCAGGCAGCGTGCACTGGGAGCCCAACACCTGCCCTCATTTGTACCTTTACACGTTTTGGACATGTGATCATATTACCACGTCAAAATGAGTCAGATGGTGGAAGAGAATAAGACTAGGAAAGCAGTCACGACCCTCACAGGGCCACCACCCTTTGGCTGGGTCAGCCCAGCTCTGCCTAGGCAGGTGGCACTCACTGTGACAGGGGCTCCGAGTGCAGCCCGGGGGCCGGGCACGCTGGATGGCCAGCCAAGAAGGGATTCACGTCCCCGATGCCAATGAGTCCAAACTCAGTGACCGACAAGGCCACCTGCGCCGGGGCCGCAGGCTCCTCTGGGTCCTCGCTCAGACCCACATGGCTGGAGATGAGGGGCAGCTCCTCCGGCAGCGTGAAGTCCAYAGCCAGTCTCGGGCTGGCACCTGGTTCTGGAGCAGCTGCAGTAGAGGGGTACACGGCTGGGTCGGCCAGGGCTGGGGACGGCTGGGGCAGGGTCACGGCAGGGGGTTTATCCAGCTGCGGGAACGGGCAAGGCCCTGGCTCCGAGGACAGCAGGCCTTCGGAGCCCACTTCAGGCTCACCCAGGCTCCTGGATGTGCCATCTGTGCTCAGCGGCTCTGTGGGAAGAGAACACAGCTGGGAGACCCCAACGACCCCACTCTCCTGCCTCGGGCCTCACATGCAGCCAGGCGGCAGCTGTGGTGCCTGCCCGGCTCCTTCACAACACACTTCCAAGGCCAAAGATGCCTGCCACACTGCAGTCGGTGGACCCAGCTCAACAGCCCAGCAGCCCAGCCTTGGAAAGTGTGAGAGCAAATGCAGGCCACAAGCCATGTCTCCAACAGCACAGCAGCAGCAGAGGAGACCACAGCAGCTGGGGGTGATTTCCTGGAGACTGTCCCAGCCAGCAGCACACAGGCCTGTCACACCTGCAGGCCTCTGGGGCAACCACAGAGAGCAGACATCCCTCTCCAGCTCAACCTCCATACACGGCCCCAGGAAGCAAAGGGCCTGGCTCCTGTCCCTTAGGGGCACCACCAGCAAGAGCATGGAGAACTCATGGGGCCATGTCTGGCTCCCAGATGACCCCAGGGCCCAGGATGCTGAGAGCTCAGAGCCACTCCTGTCCTCCCCAAGTGGCCTGGTGCTGAGGACTAAGCACCCACCCCAGGGACGGGCAGGCGCTCCAGTGACAGAAAGCCTGGGCCTTCGTGGGGGGCCACCCAGCCACTCCCCAAAAGGCCCAGATGACAGACGTGACCCATCCTCAAAAGCATCCCTCCTGAGATGACCTCAGCCACTTGGACACCCCCTGCTCACTGCAGCGACTGACCCAGACAGGTGCTAGAGGCCCCTTGGCTGTCCCCACAGTCCCCGACCGGCTGCCGCCCACTCTCTCACCTGTGCGCACCCCCGCCAGGGTGTCCTGCTCAGGGCGGGGACGAGTGGGGCCATCAGGGTCACTTCCCTCCAGGTCCTGGTCTGGGTCCCTGTGCAGAGCAGGCTGTGAGGTGTAGGGAGGCAGGCAGGACCACCTGCCCAAGGTGCTGCCCAGATGCCCCCCACACCCACCCCCAGGCTGCAGTGGGCAGCCCAGCCTGGCCGACGCGGACGTTACTGCTACAGCAGCACTGCACGCACGTGGTTCCAGACGGGACGTACTTCCTCCGGCCCAGCCGCGTCTGCTGGGCAAAGTAGTCATAGCGCTCCGACTTCTTCCAGAGGTAATAGTACTCCACACACTCGCCCACTGATCGTGTACGCACCTGAAGATGGACAGACAGGCATCCTTGGCCCCACTGCCCAGCCTCAGGCCCCTAGGGCCACTGGGTCGGAGCAGGAGTCTAGGCTCCAAGGTCCTTCAGAGCAAGAGTCCAGGCCCCCAGGTCCTCCATCTGGGGCTCGTGGCCACTGCTGCTGGCCAGAGCCTTATCCTGAGGCCCCATCAGAGACCCCACCTCCTAGCCTGGGACCCTTCTTTTTCTCTGTGGTACCAACATCAGACCCAGAGCCCCCACCCAGCACCTGCCTCCACAACCCAGAGGCAAGCGCCAAGGATGGCTGGCAGCCCTCTGGTCGACCAGCTCCTCCCTGTGGGCCYCATGCAGTCAGCAGGTGCAGCCCACAGCCAGAGGATGGCACTTGAGCCAAGGGACACTGTACGAGCCCCACAGTGACACCCAGGAAGGGGGTGGTCACGCAACACCCCAGAAGCCCTGAGCTGGGGATACACAGCTGCCTGATGAGGGAGATGCAGGCCCCGTGGCTCGGTGCATCACACCGGGAGGTACATCCCGCTGCAAGCCTGGGGAAGACGTCACCCAGGCCTACTGCTAGCCAACACGTGGCACTGAGGAGCCCAGTGACCCCCATACAGGAAAGCCAGGCGGCCTCTCTGGAGGGCGGCCTTGCATGTGCACAAGGCAGCTGCTAGACGAGGGCCAGGCAGTGGGCATTCCGTGGAGTGCTGCTGTCTCCCACAGCCCAGAAAACACCCAGAGAGGCATGTGGCCACAGATCCGTGCTCCTGGCTCTGCACACCAAGGTCTAATCAGGAGTGGGCAGCACTGCTTCCAGTCCAGCACTGGGAAGTCAGCCTACGCCCAATCACAGGTCACGGCCTCCTGCACCATGACCCTCAGAAGAGGGTCACGAGACACCAAGACACCCCCCACCTCTCCTCACCCATCCACCTGGACCCATCAGCAGGGACATCTGCCCCGAAAGGGTCAGGAAACCAACGGGAACAGGGGAGAGGCTCAGGGAGCTGCCAGCCAGGCCAAGAAAGCAGCCAGTGGCACTGCCATAGGACCCTGAGCGCCCCCAGAGCAGGACAGCCATGGAAAGGCGGGAGGACAGTGTCCCTGGATGAGTCAGCTGACCCCCAAGGCCAGGACATGGGCCAAGGTGGGGTCTGCGCTGGGGCTGAGCCAACAAAGGTCCACTTGGGACATGGAGCCTCAGCGATACCCACAGCTGGCCAAGAGGGTCCGGTCCACCTTTTAGCAGATTCACTCCCACGCCGGAGGCTTCTGCTTTTGAGGACAGGAAAGGGGCCTGGCAATGTGAGGAGAGGACACCAGAGCAAGAGGTGACCCGTGGGCCTGCCAGAGCCTCTGCCTTCTCCCCAGAGAGGGGAGATGCACCTTGTTGGCCTGTATCAGGTGGAAGTTCTTCCCATGCACGCGGAAGCCGTGCTCGAAGTTCCGGCACTCCTCCTCACTCCAGGCACACAGTCCATCTGCAAACAGCAGGGGATGGTCAACTGGGCCCCAGGGGGCAGCATGGACCAGCAGAGAGGCCAGGGCTGGGCTCACCTCGGATCACCTTCACATTGAACCTCAGCCTCCGCAGGGCCTCCTCCACGTTGAAATTGCATTTCACCAGCTCGTACAGTGCCTAGGGGAGAGGTACCGTTTACTCTCCTCACACGTCCACCTGGACCCAACAGCAGGAACATCGTGCCATCTCCCAGGAATGACATCAGGGGTGTCCATGCCACCACCAAGAGTGGCACAGGTCAATTGTGCCACTGCCCAGAAGTGACAGGGGGCAGCAGCACCACCGCCTAGAGCGACATCTCGACAAGTGGCCCTGACGTGAACTTGTGACCACGGTAGCCCACCCTGGGTAGGTGTTCCTGCCCACCCTGCACAGCTGGTAGGCCTGACCCCCTGGCACTGCGGCCCTGCCCGACCTGGAAGCCCACCTGCTCGCTGTCTATCACAGTCTCTCCCTGAGGGAGCTGAGAACCCGCCATCTCCTGCCACCTGCGCTTCGCAGCCCGATACAGGAACTCTTCTACCTCCCTCTCAGGGAGGACATTGGGGTCCCAGAGCAGCTGGTCTTCATTCTCATAGACTGCCGGCAGAAAAGGGCGTGGGTCAAGTCACGGGCCATGCTAGGAGAGCTGGAGCAGCCATCTCAGCACCTCCCAGTGGGGTGGATACCAACTAATTCCTCACACTCTTGTGGTCTGGGCCCACCATCTCTGAGCCTCTGCAATTCAAAGTGACAAACAGGTCCAGGGCCAGCTTTGGATGCCCAGGAAAAGGCCGGAGCCATCGGGGCCCAGAGTGGGCCAGTGGACACCTGACCCAGCCAGGAGCTCAAAGGAAACTTCCTAGAGGAGTCCAGAGAGCTCTGGGGAGGGCCCACAGGAACGCAGGATGTGACCAGCTTACAGCAACAGGCAGTACCACCAGAGGCAGTGGCAGAGGAAGCCAAGAAGCCCCCAAGCAAGGGCAGGGGTATCCTGGCCACTATAGCACAGACCAAGGGACTCAGGTCAGTCCTGCCACAGTGGTGGGTGGGTGGCAGGCACACTCAGAGGCAGAGGAAAAGCAGCAACTGGCTTCAGGACAGGGAGGAAGAGCTCAGGTGTGGCGGGGACAAACCAGCACCTGTACCCCTCAGCAGTCCCGGGCTTGCAGGGACCAAGCACCAAACCCACAAGGCCAAACAAAACCACAGTGCACCGGCAGGACATGGAGCACACCCAGACAGCTGTTCTGCAGGACAGTCAAAACAAAGCCACCGCACACCGCAGGACATGGAGCACACCCGGAGAACTGTTCCACAGGACAGTCCAAGGCAGCTTCAACCACACCCAGCAGGCTACTCCTGGCGCCAACGGCCTGGGCAGACGCCCTCAGATAGCACAGTCCCTCCTGCAGCCCACACTCCAGCCCTGCCTGGACCAAGGGGGTCCCTGAGAGAAGAGTGGGACAATCTCTGGAGAAGACAACATCACACACGGCCTGGAACATGGTCAGGAAAAAATGTAAGAGGAATATGAGGCACCAGCAACCATGAGGCTGATATGAAGCCAGCATGCCAGGACCGAAAGCTCAGACAGGGCCCCCAGGCAGAGGAGGATGAGAGGGAAGACCAGCAGGGGCTCTAGGCAGAGAGTGGAAGTTGTGCTGAGGGACTTCCAGGACTGTAAACCCAAACTACAATACGAGCGGGGGGGGGGGGGGGGGGGGGGGGGGGGGTGTTCCCACAGCAGCCTGGACCAGCACAAGACAGGGCTCCTGGAAGCGAAAGATGCAGCTCAAGCGTCCTGAGAAAGAACAGAGTCTGCAGGGTAAGCCCTCCAGCAGCCCAAGGATGTGCCCATGCCTCGGGAAGCAGACACTCAACTGATGAGCTGGCCTGGGAAGGCAGCACCCACAAGGAGACGAGCAAGTAGGAAAGCACACCACTGCAAAATGCTTTGGAAAAGGCAAGGGAGACCCTCACTCACACACAGGGAAGGGTAGAAGGACAGCAGAGGCCACAGCAAGCCGCTGGCCAACAGACACCAGCCAGAAGGCGGGGGACCTGCCCGTGGGTGCACAGAGCAAGCCAAACACCCAGAACTGGAGCTGTTCAGACAACACTTGACCAGCCCTTCAGAGCCATCTCTTGCACCGCAAGGACCACGAGAAGCGCCTCAGCAATGCTCAGGCCGGCAGCGCCATGCACACTGCCAACTGGTGGAAGTCACCAGGGCAGGGGTAAGGGCAGCACATCGTCAAGTGACACTGTGAAAGACTGGTCATGTGACCTTAGGAGGGCATTCCAAGGTCATTACAGACTAGGCTATGTGGCTGGAACCAGGAGACCGACAAATGAGTATTTGAAAAATCAAAAGGAAACCAAGAAAAAACAAAAGCAAACAGAAAGATAGGACCCCAAAGCTCATGGTTTCATGCTGAAATGATGGGTCTTCATAGTACCTGAACACACAGGTGGACTCGCCATTACACTAAAACACCAACACTACCACAACAGATAAATAAGATCCAGTGTGCCAAGACACACAGCTGGTGTGGACCGGAGCTAGCAGGGTGACCTCAGAGACACACACAGAAGCCTCTGCCTATAGCCAATAGCATCTCTACAGCAGTCTAAGTCTGGCTCGTGGACACACTCAACCAGCTACAGGGAACTTCAGTGATGCTCTCTGTTCTCTGACAGACAGGTAGAYGGCTGCCAACAAAGGTCACTATAAAATCCCCAGTATTTTGAACTTAAACAGAACTCCTCTGAGAACCCACGCATCATCAAGAAATCACAACAGAAACTAGAGAACGACAAAATGAGTTGAAATAAAACACAAGAGAATAAAGATAAAAGTAAAAATTAAATGGAAATCAGACAGCAAAGGAAGTCAAGAACCTAAGTCGACCCTCTGTAGAGTAAGACAGTTGATGAACCCCAAACAAGACTGATTGAGCCGGAGAACAAAGTGAAGACATAAATGCCAAGTCGGAAACCTGGGGGTGTCACCAGAAACCTAAGACACTTCCAGCAGGAGGGCAGGAGGGTGCCACCAGAGCCCACCACCTGCAGCACGGCTCACCAGAGAGGGCGCTCCAACAGATCCCCACGGTTCTACCAACTGAAGTTTTTATTAATGACCTTCCAAAAAACGAAGCAGAACCAAACCCCAGGTTCAGGGCGCTCCACTGAAGTGTTCCTGCAAACTTTCAAAGGGGTAATTACAGCCACAGCCACACACACAATCACACTCTGTCCTGGAGGCTGAAGAAAGGGACCCTTCCAGATACAGGGCAAGAGAGCAGCCCAGCTCAGGGACACAGGTGCTCGGCACACAGCAGCAGGCCAGGCAGAGCATAGCAGGCCCATGGGGCTGCTGCACACGCTTGCAGTCAGCCAGCAAATCAGCAGGTTCCCAGGTGTTGTTTCCCGATTCTTTCACACCCTGTAGCACCTGCAGCAGGAAGCTGGCCCAGTGCAGCACTCCTGTACTCAGGGAAGTGATGCTGAGGGGCCGATGCTACGGAAGGCGCCCGCTGGCCATAGGAAAGAAGGGGTGGCAACAGTCTTGCCGCGGGGCGTGCATGTCCAGACCACCAAAAGAGCGCAGTGCTGAGCCTGGTGCACACACATTTCCACAAGCAAGCAACAAGGAGGTCGGACCACATGAAGAGGGGCTTCAGCACAGCACAGCCACTAAAAACAAAACAGAGGGGATGCCCGGCACACAGCGGAACCAGTGCCACAAGCCTAGCGGCAACAGCCAAGATGGTCCCACAGGGAATCTCACCCATGGGAAGTGTGGAGTGTGGGTCCTGAGTTGAGGCTGAAGGCGAGGACAGACACCATCCACTCCTTTCCCACCCTGACCTGCACTCACAGGGACACAGGTCAAGGGAAAACAAGACAAAGACTGGAAAGAAAGAGGCTGCGTTGTCCTCAGCAAACAGCACGATGGGGCAGTAAGAAACTAGCAGATCTACAAAGTTCTAAACTGATTACGTACGAGATCAGTTAAAATAACAAACTGCAGTTCTACCAGCAAGAATCCAGCAGGAAGTACCAAGTTTGGAATATCCTTTGTGACAGCACCGTAACTGAAGACAGAAGTGCCACCCTGGAAAGCACACAAGCACTGTCAACGCCGGAGGCCCAAGGGCACAGCAACCCAGACCCACAGGCAGAACTGCTGCCACTGCTGACCCAGCACCTCTCCCCCTACCCTCCAGCTCAGCACAAGCCTCCTCAAAACCCTGGCAGCTTCTTGAGGCAACTGACCAGCCAACCCTAAAACCTCAGCAAACATGCCAGAGCAGAGCCCAATGGTCAGAGAGGCCCTGCCCCAGAGGGGAAAGAATGTGCTTCCAGGCAGGCACACCTGGAACAGCCTCAGGCCCCACCAGCAGCAGCTCAGACAGCACAGTCTCCCATGCCAGCGGGAAAACCTCCAAAGGAAAGTCTCCCAGGACCTCAGCCGGCCACCCCAACACACTGCCAAAAACACAAACCAACAGTGCCTCATGAAAACCCAGGCATCAGCCAGGGCCAAAGGGCACTATGGCAGTGGAGATACCAACCCCAGACAGTGGCCCCCTCAGAGAGAACCAGGCTACAGGTTGTACACCCTTGAACATGCACCATGCCTGAGTACGTCCAAGTGGCTAGTGCACACTGCGCACAAGCGAGAGCCGCAATGAGGCAGTCCCCTCCATGGGAGACTCTTGCAGCAAGACAGCATCCCTGCTGAGGTGTGGAGCAGTGCAAGGCCAGCACTGGAGGGATCTCCTGCAGAGCCTGCCCACGCACAATAGAGACACGTGGGGAAGACAGCAACACCAACCAGCAAGGAAGGAACACGCTGTGAGGACACGCAGGGCACGCTGCCCAGGCCGCGCAGATGTCCTCCCAGATGCAACACTGGCCAGCGGCCACAGGAACAGCCCTGGCTGCCCCAGGAGGGCACAGCTCCGGGGCAAGCTGGGCCAGGAAGGGTCTAGCTGGAGTCTACACCAAGGCTCGAGCCCCTCAAGGGCAGAGCCAAGGAGTGCACAGGGAGGGCCCTTTCTAGGGCAGCACCCCTCGTCACCTCCGGCCCTACTGAGGCAGGCACATCCCAGGCTCCCGGGAGAGACCCCTCTACCCTCAGTACTCTGCTCTGTCCCGGACCCCCATCCCACTGCTGAGTCACAGGGAAACAATTCCCCAGCAGGACAGCCTGGGCCCTGCAGGGCTCCAGGGCAAAAGGACAAAACCCAAGCCAGCAGCAGGTGGCCAGTCTAGAGGAACAAGAGGGCTCCAGATGGGGGGGGGGGGGCGGCAGAAAGACAAGCATCATATCCCAGAACAGCAAGCACCTAGAGAGGAACAAAGCAGGGAAGGAGACACAGGGACCACAGGAAGGTATCTGCAAGGACATCTAGCTGCAAGAGAGGGAGAAGGAGAGGGGAGGGGCTGGGAAAAGGGTGGCTGGGGCCAAGTCTGCACAGAAGGAAGGACAGCTCAGCATGTGGCAGCACAGCCCAGGCTGGGCCCTAGTCTCCATACAGACCAGCTGCTGAGCTGGGGTCCCCTGCTGCTCTGGYTACTCACTCTTCTCATGTCGGCTCAGGTGCAGGTTGCTGAGATCAGCCTGGAACTGAGGTCCCACCATGATCTCCTACAGAGGAAAAGTCAGTATCAGGAGCCCAGCCAGCCTCCAGCCCTGCCTGGACTCTAGGCTGCAGACCACGGCCCCAACCYGCCTGTGCAACCTGCCAGCAGACAGTGGGAGAGCCAGAACATCCTGACCACAGCCCAGCAGGCCCCAGACAAGGTGTTGGCCCCACTGCCAGGCCCAAGGGTGGACCCCAGGGCAGGCATAGAGCACAGTCCCAAGACCCTGCTGCTGGTCCGGCCCACCTCTTGGGAGCTGTGTGGGCCATTCCCCGGGACAAAGGGCACAAACCCAAATCAAGGGCTCAGCTGGTCCTGGCTTTGGCCAACAGGGTCAGGAGCTGCCAGCTACGTACCTTCTTACATTTGTTGACAGGAAGAGCATCCTCCTCGGTGTCAGAGGAGGCAGAGGAACCCGGCTCTTTGCCGTCACCAGCCAGGAAGCGGGCTTTGGGAAAGAGAAGTGAGCTGCACCTGCAGCCCTGGGAGTGGGCCGACCCCTGCTCTCAGGCTGCAGCCTGGATACTCCCTTCTTTTTACAACCCCATCCTCCACTATGACCTTCCTCTTAAGCACAGGGCCAAGAACCACCTACAAAGAGGGGCCTCTCTGCTGCCACAAAAAGCCAGCACAGAGGCAGGCAGGTCCTGGAGTAGGATGGTGGGGGACAGTCTAGGAATGCTATCTCTGGACCTGCTAGAAAAACTAACAAGTTCCCTCCTGGTTTAAGCCATGATTACCTTGAGGATTCACAGGCCAGGACAGAGGAGAGCTCAGCATCCCAGTACACCTGGTGCCCTCCACCCCACATCCCAGCTAGAGCTCTGCTCACACAACCGAAGGCCTGTTGCCTGCATCCCCAGGGCCAGGCACAGGCCAGGCTGGTGGAGGGAAGCACGGGGACACCTACACCCACTTTGGTTGGGGAAGAGGACTGAGGCCTCATGGGCAGTGACAGATGGGGCGAGGTCATCAGCAGAGGACTGTGTCTCCTCTTCTTCTCCTGAAAGCAAGTCCTTCGCTATTTGTTCCTTTTAACAAGAGAGCAGAGAAAATGATGCAATTTGGTTTGTTTCACCATCAACACAACACATCGCTGCTGACACCCTGGCCACAGCACAGAGACGTGGGCGTGCCCACTTTGGAGCTGGGCTTGTGGCACACTCTCACTTCGTCTGGTTCTCAACTTCCCTGACAGAGACCCCATGCTCTGGAAGCCCCAGCATCCTGTCCCGTGCTTCCCCTGGCATCTCCTCTGCCCGCTCCATCCACCCAAACCAGAATGCCAATGGGCCAGCCCAGACAGGAGCCTGGACAGGAAACCACAGGTGGACAACAACCCTCCCTTGGCCTTGGGCTTGTTGACTGCGTCTCCCTTGTGGGCACAGGGCCGCCTCTGCTGGCTCCCACATGGAAGCAGTCAGGGGCCATGTGTGAGTTCCCCCTTTACTGGGGGCCAGTTCTGGGAGGGACCCTCACTCACCTTGTCCAGAGTCATGTCTGGGAGGTTGGGGGCTGATTCACCACCTTCACTCTCCCGCTCTGAGATGGGGTCAGATGCCTCGTAGCCGTAGAGTGCCAGCAGCTCGTCCAGGGGCATGTCACTGCTCTGCACCGGAGGGGATGAGCCCTATTAGGAGATTGCCCAGGGCTCTGGTCCCCACTTCTGACTGAGGCTCCCAGGGCTCCACCACCAGGACCATTTGTCTACTTCTCAGCAAGACCCCATGTGGCTGTGCTGCCCTGCCAACCCTCAGGCCAGCCCTTGGGGACTTCTCTACAGCCCAGGACAGGCACAGGTGCCCAGCCCTTGGGAGCTCTTCTGCAGCCTGGGACAGACAGAGACATCTGAGCCTAGAGGCTACCAGTCCAGAACAGGGACAGGTAGGGACAGCCTCTGTGCACACCACACTGCCCAGCTCCTGCCTCCCTCCTTATACCCCAACTCCTGTCCTCATGCTCAGGGCCTCTCCTCACAGAGAACCAGCAGCTCCTTCCAGCCCTGGCCCTTGAGACAACAGGCAGCATCTGGGCACGGCCATGGGGCTCCCAATGACATGACGGAGGCTGGTAGCAGGCTGAGACCCCACTTCCCTGGATACCTTTGCAGCAGGCCTGAAGTACCTGCACCCTCCACTGCGCTGACACACAGGCCAGTCCTGCAGAGCCTGTGGGCACAAGACCGGTCCAGCACAGCCACAGCAGTGCACCACAGAGCGGGGCTACCATTCTGAACACTCAGGATGAAGTCAGCAACCTCAACAGCTCTCACCCTGACAGGCATGATAGCTGTGCAGGGTGCGGAAGGCATACAGAGCGCCTGCTGTGTAAGTAGGGAGGTAGCCACTCCAAAGCACGGGACGGATGGGGCAGGCAGGAGCCCACCGTCCACTTCTGTCTGGAAGAATAGCTGGCAGACACTCCACAAAGTTCCCCCTCCTGCACAAATTCTTTTGTTTTTAAAAATGGAATAATTTTCTCATCTGCACAAAAATGTTATTTCCAGGGGCTAGGGCTGAGCGGTAAAGCACTCGCCTGGCACGTGTGAGGCACTGGGTCCTCAGCACCAAATAAAAATAAATAAACAAAATAAAGATATTATGTCCAGGGCTGGGGATGTGGCTCAAGCGGTAGCGCGCTCGCCTGGCATGCGCAGGGCACTGGGTTCGATCCTCAGCACCACATAAATATAAAATAAAGATGTTGTGTCCTTCGAAAACTAAAAAAATAAATATTAAAAAACTCTCTCTTAAAAAAAAAAAAAGACATTATGTCTAACTACAACTAAAAAATATATTTATTTTTTTAAAAAGGTTATTTCCATTAACGTATATTTGGTGCCTTTTCTGTTGTTGTTGCTGCTGGGATTGAACCCAAGGGCCGAAGTACTCTATCACTGAGCCACATCCCAGTACTACTATTATTTTCATGAACTAGTGAACAAATATTGTCAAATACTTCAGTTTTGACGGAAAATGCAGTAAAAGGCAAGCTTCTCAGTCCCTCCCTGACTTCAGGAGCACAGAGAACCTCTGAGAACAGCAGACCTGAGCTCAGTGCAGTCATGTCCAGCTGCCAAGGTGGCCTAGAGCCCCACAAGAACAGGGTCAGGCTGGCATTCTGTAAACAGGTGTGCCGTGGTGCTTGCACAGAGAATCCAAGAGAAACCTCAAGCGTGCCCAGGAGGGCACAGCTAGCCACGTACCTGGGATATGAAGTCTTTGTCCAGCTCCTCCTCAGGCTTCTCAGGGCACCGCAGGGGCTCTGTGCACTCCTCCCGGAGACTATAGTTCTGCGACAGGATCTCTGCAAGGTTGAACTGATGGTCTGCAGAGCCCATGGACACCACTGTGGAGGAGACCCCAGCCTGGGTAAGCACCTCCCAGTGCCCATCTCCAACCAGCTGAAGACGTCCAGGGTAGGGAAGGCAGTGGTGGCCTTGCCATCCCAAGGACGGAGCACTCAGTGTGCATCCACATGCATTCTGGTGCACACAGAGGATACCCAGCAGGGCCAGCTCCCGCATGCGAACCCAAGAGTCTCCAAGGACCATGGGGTGCTGACCGAGGAGCACATTAGTACACACACACACACACACACACACACACACACACACACACTTTAAGGGTCTGGGGCATGCGTTTCTTTCTGGGGACTGCTTGGTCCTCCTGAACACACAGATACCCACGAAGGCCTGCGGGAAGGTAAATGGCCTAAGAGGCAGCTATCACTGAGGTTAGGGTGGAAAGAGCAGAAGGGCTCCCAGGTGCTAGGGCCAAGCCTGGCCCCACAACACAGTATAGACACAGGAAGGCCCTGACTCCTAAAACCTGGGGTGGTGGGCTACACAGCTCACTACAGGATGGAGCTGAGCTGTCAACACACCAAGAAGCAGCACTGTTAAGTAGGGCCCACAGGACAGGACCCATTGCTAGACTTTGGGTTTTCCCAAAGGTCCAGGGTGTGTCCACTGCACCTCCGCAGTGATTTTCAGCAAGTTACGATTCAAAATACACACAAGAGGGAGCTGGGGCTATACTTCAGCAGCAGAGCACTTGCCTCACACATGTGAGGCACTGGGTTTGATCCTCACACCACAAAAAAATAAATAAGGATATTTTGTCCATCTTAAAAAAAAAAAACACACACACAAGAGAAAACAGCCAGGGCTCAATTAACCCCAGGACAGGGGTGTGGGAGCTCAGGGGGCCCAGGGCAGTGGCCTCTGGAAGACAGCTACAGAGTCAGCACAACTGGCTAGGCAGCTGCCTGCAGAGTGGCACCCAGTACAGGTGAGGGAGCCAAGAGCTGCCAGTGCCCCGAACTTCCACGGCCAGTCCTGGAGGAGGTGGGAGGGAGACAGGGACACTGCCACTCCTGCAGGGCTACAGCTGGAGCGATGGCCCTCTGCCTAGCCTGCAGCAAGGGTCCAATCACAGGGGCTCTCCTCTCCTGCAGCAACACCTCCACAGGGCCAGGGCAGTGGCCAGCAGGAGAGGGCCTGGGAGCTTCATCCCCGCCCAGTGGGTGCAAGTACCTAGGGTGTCTCCTGCCTAGCCCTTCAGCCGGTTCTCCCTCAGCCAGTCACTCCCGGAGGCCACAACAAGCAGATGCCACCCCCAGCCCCAGTGCAGACCTGCACTCTAGTCCACGCAGGGTCGCAGCTGGCCCTGCCTGGGAACAGGGGGTCCTGAGCACTCTGCCACACACCTCCACCTGACCCAGCAGGGGCTGGAAGCCACCAGAGGGTTCTGCCTTTCACAGCCAGAGGCCCTGCTGGACCTTGGCAGGAAGACAGTACCTGCTGTCTGCAAGCCGGGCTCCCTGGGACACAGGCTGTGAGCGAGGCAGGAGGCCACGTGAGGACTCTGCCTCCCCACCGAGGAGGCCTGCAGAGACAGAAAAGCAAGGTCAGCTCCACAAGCCCAAGGCCCGGCTCCCACCTCCCCTCGGGTGGCTTTCTCTCAGCCTCCAAAGGCTGGGCAGGGGCACTGAGAATGGAACAAGCAGCATGCACCCACACAGCCCACTCCAGGGCCCAAGCACTCACACAGGAGAGCTTCCCACATGGCAAAAACTGCCCACCACCAACCCCACAACCCCAACCAAGCTGCAGCATGCACAGGCCTAAGGATCTCACACTCAGCAAGAACCAGGCACAAGGCCACAGCGTGGGACCCAGTAACAGGAGACATCCAGGACAGGGGAGTCCAGAGACAGGATGTGGACTCATGCATGCCAGAGGCTGGGGAGGGGTGGGGGACTGACCGCTCACGGGAACGGTGTTGCTTTAAGGGATGATGGAATGTTCTGGAACTAGACAGAGGTGCTGGCTGAAAAACCACTGATTCTACATTTCAGGTAGATTTCACAGCATGTCAATCTAGCGTGTGAAACTAGGGACAGAAGGGACTCTCTCAGCCTGATGAGACACCCAGGAAGCCCACAGCCACACCCAGAGACCAGACTTGAGCTTGCCCTCCATGTGGGGGTGTGGGGGGCTATCTCCCACCACTCATACTCAGCACCTCCCCAGGGGGTTCCCGTCCACGCAAGAAAAGGAAATAAAAGGAACCCAAATGGATAAGGAAAGAACAAAACTATATCGCTGGTGACATGATCTTGTGCCTATAAAATCCAAACTAAAAACTATTTAAATGAATAAATGATCTAAGCAAGGTTGTAGGGTACAAGGTCAATGCATAAATATTCACTATATTTCTATATACTAGCAATGGATTATCAAAACATTAAGACAATTCCGTTTACAACAGTGTCAAAAGTTGCATAAGACATACCCCTTAAGAACACAGCAGGGGCTGGAGTTGTGGCTCAGTGGTAGAGCACTTGCCTAGCATGTATGAGGCACTGGGTTCAAGTCTCGGCATCATATATAAATAAATGAACAAAGTGTCTATCAACATCTAAAAATATATTTAAAAAAAAAAAAAAAAAACAGAGCAGAACCAGGCCCAATGGCACATGCCTGTAATCCCAGCAGCTCAGAAGTTCAAAGCCAGCCTCAGCAACTTAGCAACGCTCTAAGAAACTTAGTGAGACCCTCTCTAAAAATAAAAGATATAAAGGGCTGAGAATGTGTCTCAGTGGTTAAACCCCCGGGTTCAGTCCCCAGACCAAAAAATAACAAAACAAAACTTTCATACTTCATTATCAATAAAGTGAAACAACTCACAGAATAGAAGAAAACACCTGCCAATCAATCATACACCTGGCAAGGGACCTGCATGTGTAAAGAACTCTTGTAACTCAGTAACAAAAAGGCAAACAACTCAACTTAAAAAAGGACACAGGATGGACTGGGGCTATAGCTCAATTGGTAGAGTGCTTGCCTTGCATGCACAAGGCTCTGGGTTCAATCTCCAGCCCCACAAAACACATTTCTCCAGTGAAGACCTGTGAATGGTCAATCAGCTCACAGAAAGACACTCAGCATCCCTCAGCACGCAGAAGCACCAAGGCCCAGCAAAACACCCCTTCTCAGTCACAGGATAGCTTCAATCAAAAAGACCGATAACCACAACTACTGTCGTGGACTAGTCCTGGGGAATGTCCAACTGAAGTCTGGACATGAACGGTCACAGCAGGGTCAGACTCACATGGAAACTACGTGGAAATCACCTCGACATCCATCAGCTGACCAACAGAAACACAAACCAGCCTGGAGCGTCCTTGGCCAGGGCAGTAGCGAGGTGACAGATGCAATGTAGAGGGACCTGAGGACCTGGTGCTAAGTGACAGCCAGACACACAGGCCACAGTTTGTGACCCAGTGACAGGGGAGTCCAGAGACAGGACATGGACCCGCAGGTGCAGGGCTTTTAAGATGATAAAAATATTCTACAACTATCTGTTGGCAGTTATGTAACTCTGAAAATACTAAAAACCATGAAGTTCTACGCATTACAAGAGGGCCACTGCGAGGCAGATGAACTTACCTCAGTAAAGCACTGCCAAACATAAATAACTAAAATGTTTAATAAAATAAAGCTTAAAAGTTTGGGAAGGAACTCCTTTGTCACTCGGTGCTCGGGAAATCCTCACATGAAGTGTGCTCATTCTCTCCTTAAGGAAAACCAGGAAACCAAAGCTCAGAGAGATCAGGGCACTAACCTAAATTCACACAGTAAGCATGTGAAACCAGTACAAATTCAGTTCAGGCCTTATGTCAGAAATCCTCGTCACCCTCTGCTCAGAATACAAGGACAGTGCACACTGATGTTGGAGGGAGAGCTAGGAGGCACAGGGTGCCCTCAGCACTGCAGAGACTTGGCAACAGGGCTGCAAGGTGCATTCACCTGACTGAGGTCCAGAAGCCCCTGAGGGTCTGGTGGGAAGGGAGCAGACCAGCCCAGCTTTAGACAGTCTACCCAGCGGCGGCAGAGGGCCATAAACAGAGCACAGGAAGCAGCACCCATGGTGCTCAGAAGCAGGCCAGGGACCTGCAGCCCAGGGGCCTCTCACACCTCATGCCCTGGTAAAGCAAGGTGGCTTCACCTCCTTCCTGGACACACAGGTATGCCAGCCCTGTGGCCACCTTACACAGCCACGTGCATGGCGAAGCATGACGAGAGCACCCAGGGTGCCAGGAGCCCTCCTCAGCCCTCTCCAGGACCGCCTGGGATGGGGGGACAGGAGCTCCCTAAGCAACCTTCCCACCTATGCCAAGGGACTAACTTTCTGTTCTCACAGCCAAGAGGCCTACGTGAGGTGGGGGAGCATCTAACGAGGCCACAGTTTGGAAGACAGGTTAACAACGGCCCCCACAGGTTCAGTGTCCAGAAAGAATGAGAATAACTTTTGGCCTCAGGAATGATGGCCTGGGGTCCCCGAGCAGGGTCTGAAGAGGACTCAGCCCTATCTGACTTGCCATCTAACAGGGCTCAGGCATGAGAGCAGAGATCACCAGCCAGGAACAGCCAATGTAGAGATATCTGAGGACCCGAGGACCTGGGGCTAAGTGACAGCCAGACAGTGAGCAGCTGGCTCCCCCAGGACCACCAGCCTCAGATCCTACATGCATCTCCAAGGGACTCCAAGCTCCTCAACACTTACCAGGGATCACGGGTCATGGCTGGCCTTCCTCCCCCACCCGTTTCTGGTGCCCACACAAATGGCAGATTCCCAGGTCCTACTTCCATTTACTTAGAACATACTGGATATCCCCCACAGCGTCAAAGGCCAACAAAAGTCAAGCCTCTGCTCTGTGGAGAGGAAAGGAAGAACAGAACAGGGGCTGGTCAAAGGTGAAAGAGAGGACAACGAACAGCACTAGAGAGGCAAAAGAGAGGATCACAGACAAGGGCCCACAAAGGTCTTCTAGGGACAGAGGAGGAAGCAAGCTGGTATACACGAAGACTCCCAACTTCTCACAGAGCATAGGACGGCCCTTCTCTCAGGGCAGCACCCCATTCCAGCTCTCCACTCTTCAAAGCTTGACCCAGAAGGACATTGCAACAGATTCCACACTCCCTGGAGGCTGTGCCCACACCTCCCACCCACACACTCTGCTTCCTATGTGACCACATGGAAGCACTCTCTCCAGTCTGGCCAGGCCTGGTCACAGCTGGTAGCTCAGTTTTCTACCAGGCCTCCCGAGGAACAGCCACTCCTGGAACACAGCCGCCATACTGCATAGAAGCCCAAGCCACACACAGAGGCCAGCAGCCAGGCACAAGTGAGGAAGCCCCCAGCAAGTTCCAGACCCAGCCAGCACTGTGCCAGGGGAAAGAGGCCCTACGTGAGTCAGCCCCAAGAATAAGAAATGACAATAAAGTGAGTGCTGTACTGTCCCAGAGTCGACTTCTGAGGTGGCCCATTACACAGCACCAGTTAACAACAGCGTCCTCTGGAGTCCTCCCTGACCTCACCACCCATGCCCAGCCCAGGCATYGGGTGTCCCCTTGACAGCCCTCATCTTACCCTTCCATCTCAGCATTTGCTCTGGGCCCACCCGAGGAGCAGGTTCTGCCTGTCTCCACCCACATGGAGTTGCCAGTCTAGTCCGGGCACACCTAATGAGCTGTGAATTCATACAGCAAGGAGAGAGAAATGAGGGCACGAGAATGAAGACAGGATGGGGCTGTGTAACTGAGCATCAGGGACAGCTCTGAAGTTCTCTCCAGCAGGGACCAGAAGGCAAAACAGTTCCAGGCCGCCCCACAGTCCACAGAGCACACCAGACACCAAAGGAGCCAGGGGCTGCAGGGGTCACAGGGGCCACACCACAGGGTGGCTGGTCATAAGAGATGATAAGGGCAGTGAAAAGCCACAGAGGGTCTGCAAAGGAGTGAAAGCTGGCACATTAGGTTAAAAAGATTAATCTAGGACCAACAAGAACAGGATGGAATGTTCCTGTCTTTCCTGGGTGCTGATGATTATTTTGAGACAAAAACACAACGATTAAGCAGATCAAAGCAGCTAATACTAACCAACCACCATGAGGTTACAAATGGCTGCTTTTATGGGTTAAAGACAGCTGAATACTAGCCATTTCATAAGGTTCAACTTCCATCTTTAATTCACAGAGCCAAAACCTCATGAGCTTTCTTAGATTGGGAGGTCAACATCAACTTCCCAATCTAGAGACTCAGTCCTTCTGCAAGGCTCCAGGGCCAGATAAGGCCTCCAGGACGGAGGCTGGCCCGGGCCCTACAAGATCAGCATCTACATGTGTTTTAGTCCTTCATTGATCAGCGCCTCTAACCAGTTTCTAGACAGGCCCCATCTGTTCTACGCACTGTGGGAATCCTACGGCATAGCACAGGCGACGGCCTACACAGGCTGCGGCCTCAGAACATCAAATCAAATGAACTCTACAGGGCTCCACCCCAAGCTGCTTTCATGGGTTAAAAAATACTGAACACTAGCCATTTCATAAGGTTCAACTTCCATCTTTAATTCACAGTGCCAAAACCTCATGAGCTGGTGCAGCCAGGCACCCAGACAACTACTGTCTCTCTGGCACAGACACAGAGCTTGTTGCTGCCCTGAGAAGGCCACAAACGGGAAAGAATGGCCAGTCCCACCCTCCACAGCGCCTACACACGTTAAGCCCAGGCACAAACCTCAGCCAGAGTCCCAGTCCCCGCTCCCAGGCCTGCTGCGCCTCTGGGGGTGGGTGCCCTCTCCTCCCTGGGACCCGGGAGCTCCACGCCTGACACGGAGTCAGTCCTGAGGCTGGTGGATCCCTTTCAATTTCCGCAGGACAGAGCCCGCGGGGCCGCGGGCCGGAGCCCATTTACGCAGCCCGGCAGAGGCTGCCCCTCGCACAGCCCCTCTCCTCCCCGCGGTACCTGGGCGGTGAAAGCAAATCTACAGGGTCCCGCGCACCGTCCCAAAGCCCAGCCAGCCCCAGACGCCAAAGTTCCCGTTCCCCGGGAGTTGTTCTGGGCAGCGCCGGCGGAGTCCGATGGACCGTCACAGCCCCACAGCCCGGAGTCCTCAAGTCGCAGCTGAGAGCGTTCTACACACTGCCGGCCCCAGGTCTTCCGAGAAGGAACTCCATGAGGGAGCGGCCGACCAGCTCAACCCGGTGGTCAGCCTCGCAGCCCACGCCGCCTCCCGCGGGTCCGCAGTGGGGCCGCGCGGTCCCGCCGGACGCCACCGCCCCGGCGCTCCGCAAAGTTGGCGCGCGCGCCGGGAGAGCTCGCCCCCGCCCGCCGCGCCCCCCGCGCCCGCGCATGCGCGCCTCAGCCCTCGATGTGGCAACGCGGGGGGGGGGCGGGGGGCGCCGGGCCGGGGGCGGCCGCCGACGAAAACCCGCGCCCCCGGGCCCCGAGAGGGCGGGCGCCCCGGCCGGCCCCACAGCTCCCGGCGAGCGGCTTCCACCCCGGGCCCCTAGAGCTCACCACGGCGGCGGCGGGGGGCGCGGGCGCGGGCGGGGGGCCGGCTCCCCCGGCCCGCTCACTCACCTCCGCCAAGGCCGTGTGTGCGCGGGAGGCGGTGGCCGCGCCGGGATCCCCGGATGAGGGGCCGCGCGCTCATTGGCCGAAGCCCTGGTGGGCGGGGCCGGGGCGGGGCAGCGCGTAGTAGGTGCGCGGGCCTGGCGAGCGGGCAGAGGGCGTCGCGGTTCTGTCAGTGTCGCGGCCCCGCACCCTCGGGCGCCCGAGGCGGGTGGGGTGGGTCACGCCAGGCGCGGCGGAGGCCGGGACTGGAGGCCAGCTCCGCCCGACAGGTGCGAGGGGCTCGGTCCGTTCCCGGGTCCTGCCGGAGCGGCTCAGGGACCCCCGCGCCTGCCGCCGAGTTGGGGAACCGCCCCGAGGGCCCGGCGCCGCCGCGCCCGCTCCTCCGAGCGCTGACGTCATTCGCGCCCGGGCTCTCCCCGCGCCTCGGACGTCTCGGGCGGGCGTTTGGGTCGGTTAGTTGACGCGGCCCTGCTCCGGGCGCTGGGGCGACCCAGAGAGGCAGGAGATAAACGGACAGGTGCGGGAGTGGCCCGGGAGCCAAATGAGTGGCGCGTAGAGAGGGGTTTTCAAGGTCGGAAAGTCGTTGGGGCGGCCGATTCGTTTCAGTGGAGACGTGTGGCCACCTGTTGTCAGGTGATACGCGGGAACATCACTCGTGCAGGGCAGACGGACATCCTGGGCCCCTGGGTCTGATGCCCTGAGGAGGACACCCCCTCCTGCACCCGGTGGAACGCAAAACCTTTGCAGGCAAAGCCGAAATATGAACATTCTACCAAAGTGGCGAGGAACTGCGTTTTCCAAAGCTGTTAGAGCCAGACAAGATCAGCCGGGAAGGCTTCCCGTGGAATCAGCGAAATGCAGTGGCTGCGCCTAGACCCGGACCCAGCAGAGGAGCAGAGTGACACAGCAGAAGTCGTGGAGTGTGTTCACAGGATTAGATGAAAGGACTGGATCAACGTGAAGTTTACTGAAATCAATGGCAGTTCTGTGTTTCTGTAGGAGAACATTCTTACTTAAAAATTCACACTGATTCTGGGCGAGGGGCACACGCCTGTAATCCCAGTGGCTTGGAAAATTGAGGCAGGAGGATCCAGAGTTCAAAGCCAGCCTCAGCAACTTAGAGAGGCACTTAGCAACTCAGTGAGAATCTTTCTCTAAATAAAATACAAAAAAGGTTTGGGGATTTGCCTCAGGGGTGAAGTGTTCTTGAGTTCAATCCTCTGTACAAAAAAAAAAAAAAATACACTGACCTATTTAGAGTATATGCAACTTATTCCCAAATGGTTCAGAAAAGCATGTTCTTAGGGCTGGGGTTGTGGCTCAGTGGTAGACTGCTTGCTGAGCACGCATGAGGCACTGGGTTCGATCCCCAGCACCACATAAAAATTAAAAAAAAAAAAAAAAAACATGTTCTCATCTACAATCAGTGATAACAGCAATGGGGGCAAAATACCAATATCTGGATCTGGAAATGGGTATGTTAATTATTCTGTAAGCATGAAATGATCTTCAAATAAAAAGCAAAAGAAATAAAGCAGAAAATAAAGACCACTTGAGGTTTGAACTGAGACCTTGGGAGAACTTGGCCAGCAGTGGGTGGGGGTGGGGGTCCCAGCAGTTGGTCAGCCAAGGTGAAAATGGAGTCCAGAAGGGACTTGTGCTGGAGAATGTGCTGGGCAAGTGCATCCCTGGAGTTTCTGGTGGCACCTCTGCTCCTTCCGACTTCAAGTTGAGGGCTTGTTTGGACCACCACAGGGATCCAGAAGCTGGGGATGAGATCTGGTTCGCTGAACCATGGAAGCCTCTAGAGTGGTGGAGGGAGAGCAGGCATGCAGGTAGATAACCGAGGCTGCAGAGAATCTTCTGGGTCTTGCCATCAGCTGAGGACAGCCACCTTGCCAGACTTTCCAGGAGGCTGCCACATCAGCCAAGATTGAGGTAGAGTGTAAAAGTCCAGCCACCAGGACCCCCGAGGCATCAGCTGGCTCCCCCTTCCCTCTGTGCAGCATGCCCCCCTGACCGGCACTGAACCCAAGGGTAACCCCTAGTTCTTCCTGCATATCATCTGTTTCAAAAGTCTGTTTCCAAAAATAAAGGAAAGAGGGAAGGGAGGAGGAAGTTACATAAGGAACCAATCAAATACAGATTAATAGATGAGCTAAAAACAAATCTAATAGAGAAAAGAGAAGCAGGGGACAGGAGGGCAAAGGGGGCTTATGAACTGAAATCAATTTTCATGCACATGAGTTTCTCAGGGTAAACCCAACTAATATGTAATTTAAAAGTCTGTTTCCAGAGGGCTGGGATTGTGGCTCAGTGGTAGAGCTCTTGCCTAGTATGTGTGAAGCACTGGGTTCAATCCTCAGCACCACATAAAAATATATACATAAAATAAAGGAATTGTGTCCACTATAACTAAAAATATATTTTTTAAAAAGTTTCCAGGAATCTAACCTGTGACACAAAACTTGAATCATGCATGTTTGAAAGATTTAAAAAACAAAAGGCCAAGCACAGTGGTACACACCGATAGTCCCAGGTACTCACAGGCTGAGGCAAGAGGATCAAAATTTTGACGCAGCTTTGGGAATTTAGGGAGACGCTATGTCAAGATAAATTTTTTAAAAGGGGGCTGGGGAAGTAGCACAGGGGTAAAGTGCTTCTGAGCTCAAGCCCCAGTACGGCCAAAAAAAAAAAAAAGTATCTTAGCCTGTCTGTCTGTGCCACTATAACAAAATACCAGAGCCAGAGGAGGTGGTTAAAACATTACCATTTATTAAAACATCCCAGCTGCTCARGCTGAGGTAGGAGGACCAGGAGTTCGAGATCCTGTCTCACAGCAAACAAAAACCCACAGACTGGGTCATTCCTAAAAACTGGAAACTATTTCTCACAGTTCTGGAGGTTGGAAATCCAAGACGGAGGTGCAGGCAGATTTGCTGTCTGGTGAGGGCCACATTTGCACTTCCAAGAGGCCTTACTGTGTCCTCCAACAACAAGCACTGTGCAAGCATGGGGTGGAGGGACCCTGCCACTCACAGCCCTCTGTAAGGGTGCTGATGTCATTAAGTACCTGCCCAAAGCCGCACGGCTCAATACAGTCGCCTTGAGGACTAAGTTTCAACATGAATTTTGGAGCAGTTGACATCATTCAAAGCACAGCAAGAAACAATAGTCTCARGTGCGGCACAGCATGATGAAGAACTAAAATGAGGCCCCCGGACTTCCAAGAGAGGTAGAAACTGAGCTCAGTGGCCCAGGGTGACCCAACCATTCCCTGTGAACTGGGGCAAGTCTGATCGCCAGCGTCCTACAGCATCCTCTCCGCTGCACACACCTGGTCACTTGCATGGGTCTCTATCAGTGCCCACTGCTGCCCACTGGCTCTCAGTGCCACATTACCCCCAGAACCAGGAGCCTCAGGGTGACAGGAGCCACTCAGCCACAGCTCTAGAACCTGCTGCTCATGCAGCTTCTGAGGGAAGCAGACCTGCAGGTGGAGATTTGTCGGCAGCAAGTCCACAGGGAGAGCTATCAAATGGACCCACGGAGATGAAGACAGTGGATAGGGGCCTCACACTGAGTCACCCAAGGGGCTGCCTAGGGAGAGCCCCTGGCCACAGGGAGGCCATTCCCAGATGGGCGCCAGCTGCCATAGAGTCTGCAGTGCAGTATCCACATCACCAAACACATTTTGCTTTCATACCTGTTTTTCCTGAGAACGTGGATGGTTACCATGCTTATTTGAGCGATTAAATTACAGTTCTACATAACTTACTTAATTTTGTTCCTACACACCAGCACTATGTAATAGGAACATGTGGTACCTGAATATCTTCCCATAACTGCATTTTTTTAAGAGAGAGAGAGAGAGAATTTTAATATTTATTTCTTAGTTTTGGGCGGACACAACATCTTTGTTTGTTTGTGGTGCTGAGGATCGAACCCGGGCCGCATGCATGCCAGGCGAACGTGCTACCACTTGAGCCACATCCCCAGCCCCCATAACTGCATTTTAAAAAGAAATGGAGGGCTGGGGTTGTGGCTTAGTGGTAGAGTGCTTGCCTAGCACGCATGGCCTGAGATATTAAGTTCGATCCCCAGCACCAAATAAAAAGAAATACTAAATAAAGGTATTGTGTACATCTACAACTGAAAAACATATTTTAAAAACAAGAAATGGCACTTCAATAATAAATTTTATTGAAATAAGTTTATTAAAACATTACCTGGTCATGTACAACAATAGAAATTAAAAGTTGTGCATTTGTGTTAAAAAAATAAAATAAATAATAAAAATAAGTCGTCCAGATTAGAAAAAAATTTGTGTCCAACACAGAATCAGCGAATGAAATATAAAGGTATGAATGAGTTTGTTCCACTCTTTTTTGTTTTGTTTTTTGATACCCAGTATTGATCCTGTGGTGCTTACCAAACTGAGTCAGATCCCCAGTCCTTTTTTAAAAAAAAAAAAAAAAGTTATACACAATACCTTTATTATATTTATTTATTTATATGTGGTGCTGAGGATTGGATCCAGTGCCTTGCATGTGCTAGAGGAATGCTCTACTGCTGAGCCACAACTCCAACCCTCCCCAGTCCTTGTTTT